TTATAGAACCACCACTTTAGTTTGTATCTGAGGCTGATGTTTTATATTTTCTAGGGAATAACCTTCCTATCTTTTTCTAGGTTAGGAGAGGGACAGCTGCTTTGCTGCTGAATAGACAAAACATCTTCCTATGTTCAGCCACACTTCATCCTTCTTCCCAGAGCCCTGAGTGGTACCAATTCCTGAGCTTTGGTGTTTTTGTCGGGGTAAACCAGGTTGCTCTCTGGCATGCCCAGTGCTGTCCTGAGTTTGCAGTTCAGCTTTTCTAGTTTACTAAATCAGTAACTCCTAGCCTTCCACCTCAGCTTCCAAAGTCTGGTTGCTATTAATTGTGTTTCCTTGTCTTTGTAGTGTCCCCATTCCCAAAAGTACTGTATTATTGTATGAGTTCTGATTTCTGGAAGAAATGCAAGTACCTGTGTGTCAATCAACTCTGACAAAGTTGAAAAAGTATATATGCTACTATTTTATACTTATTTTTCCTTGGCATGATGCATATTACACATTTAGAATATGACTTGTTCTGGCAGAGCTGTGTTGGATATGATGTATGTCAATGCTGTAGTTTTGATCTTGAATATGCCCCAAAGGCCATGTGTTAGAAGATTTTTCCCTCAGGAGATGCTATTGAGAGATGGTGGAATCTTTAAGAAGTAGAGCCCAGAGGGAGGTCTTTAAGTGATTGGAAGCAGGCCCTTGAAGAGAAGCTGTGGTACTCAAGCTCCCTCCTTTTTCTCTTTTGCTCCCTGGCAATGAGGTGACTGGCTTTGCTCCACCATGCTTTTCCACTATAGTCTACTGCCTCACCACAGGCCCAAAACAACAGGCCAATCAATCATGGTCTAGAACCTCCCAAACCATAAGGCAAAATAAACCTTTTCTCTTTAGTTAATTATCTCAGGTATTTTGTTATAGCAACAGAAATCTGACTAACACAGTCAGTACGACATGTTGAATTTAAGACCAATAGTTTTGGAGGAGGCAGGACTGGGTTTAATTAAAGGATTTGCCATTGCCAGTGGTATGACTTTGAGCAAGTCACTTAAGGAAGACTTGGTCTTCTTATCTATAAGTTGCAGAAAACAGATTGAATCCACAAAATGATTTAAATTATTATGTTAAATACGATGACTGAAAGCACTTGACCCACAAGGTACCTCCATTATGGAGCATGTAAACCAAGATTGAGTCATACAGACAGCACTTTATGTGATTTCTTTTACCAGGTACTCAAGGTGATTTTTTGTGGGTCACGTGAATATCTTCTCTTAATAAAGTATTCAGAAAACAACAACGAATATAGGGATTCACTGAATGCTACATGAACCTTAAAACAGTCAAAACAAAAAAATTAGTCCTCAGGTGTTGAAGTATTTCTTTCCATCCTTTTATTATTAATTCTTATAATAAGACTGTATTTTAAACTTTTAGTTATTCCTGTTGGGATAAAGACAAGTCAGCACCTAGGGAGTCTTGTTCTTCCTGATGGGATAAGAAGGACTCCAAAGACTGTGATATCAGGGAAATGGCGGAGGGGAACCACCTATCCTGGCCTTCCCCCTGCTTGAAGGCATGCTGTGGCCCTCCGTGTTGTCCCCCTGCTGCCACCAGGGAGTGTGTGACTAATAAAATACCCAAGCCTTTTCTGTTGGGTCCTCAAAGTTCTTTCTTTGGGATTGATAAACAGTATACTGAGGCTTTTGTAGCCTGAAGTTGGCCATTTCTTTTCCCTTAAAAAATTACAGATGCAAGATTTTAATCAAAGAAACAAAGCACCACTGCATCCGCTCCCCTCTAGAACGTGGAGCAGCCTTATAATTAGATTGCTTATTTCCTTTCCCTCAGCCCCATCCCCTCTTATCCATTTTCCACACAGTAAGCAGAATGATCGAAGAAGAAGAAAAATCTTACTAGATTCCCATTCTTCTTAAAAACAGAAACAAACAAGAAAACCTCCACAGCAGAACTTCAAGTCCTGACAAAGCTCCCACCTCATCTCCAGCCCCATGTTGTAGCATTTGCCCTCTCTCCTCTGTGGGTATCAGCCACACGGGTTCCTGTCATTACTGGGATTTGCCAAGTTCTATTCATCCTTAGAGACGTTCTTCTTCCTTCTCCCTCTGCTTGGACGGCCCCTTTGCTGGCCTCTTCCCAGCTAGCTGTACTTACCTTACGACGACACTTGCCTTTATATCACCTCTCCTGGGAACCCGATCATGATTCCCCAAACAGACAGCTCTGCTGTTGGTCACTCACTGGGAACCTGGTACCTCTCTTTTATAGGCTTTATCCCAGTGGAATTTAAATTGTCGTGCCATGGCTTAGTTCTGTTTCCACTGCTTGAGATCTGTGAGGCAGGGACAACATCTCTATTCTACTGCTTCATTCAAAATACCTTGAAAATGTTTGTACATATTCACTCCTCAAGGCCTATTTGTTGAATAAATGGCTTTAATGACCTTATTAGAAAGAAAAAAAAGGCCAAATAAAACATGATTTTAAGAGCCATGTTTGTATTTTCAAATTCTGCTACTGGTACAGGTCTGCTATGTTCCCAATGACTTAATCAATGCTTACTTTGGACACTGTCCTTGGAGCCGTATGAATTACTCTGGAGAAGGGGAGAGAATCAAAGCGAAAGAGGAAGAGTGGAGATCGTCTGTTTTGTAACCAGTGTGCTGGGCAGTGTCAAGGAGAGAAGGTGGCTTCAGTGAAATTAATACACTGTCAATCAGATCATGTATCAGTGCAGGCACATTTAGCAGTTTAGCAAGACCCTGTTTCAAATTAAAAAAAAAATAAAAAGAAACAGGGATGTAGCTTAGTAGTAAAGCACCCCTGGGTTCAATAACCGGGACTAGGGAAAACAAAAACAAAAAACAATGAAAATATGCTCAATAAATATTTTTTGGTGGCCTTCTTATATTACCATATATCATCCAAACTATGAGCTGCTATTGAAGATTACTTTTGCATATTTTTAGCCATGTGTTTAATGAAGGGAAAGTCAGCATGTTATTTTTCTAGGCTGAGGCCAAGTCATGCTATTTAAAGGATGACTGTCCCAAACCCAATTCATAAGAGCCCAACTTTTTAATTCTAATTTATATTGCACATACACACACACACACACACACACACACACACACAAATAAAACACACAATAACTTTTCAAAGTCACTAAGAATCTCTTGTTTAAATCAAATGTATTTGCTGGATAAGGAGCTTGCTATGAGAAAGAACAATGGATTAAATTGTAGTTTCCTATGAGAATGCCCAGATGTTATTGAGCATTTTTTGCTGGGGTTCTGAGGTCTGATAGTATGGGAAGCGTTTACATTAGGAACCTGCTGGGCATGATGGCACACACCTGTAATCCCATTGACTTGGATGGCTGAGGAGGAAGATTGTAATTTCGTAGCCAGTCTTAACATTTTAGCTGAGACTCTCAGCAATTTGGCAAGACCCTGTTCCAAATTTAAAAAGCAAAAAATAAATGGGGATGTGGTAAAGCACCTGGTACCACAAGGGGAGGGAAAAAAATGAGCACTTTATTTATGTCATTGGAAAAAATGTACCCAAGTTCACGTGGCCCCAGGAGATTCACAAAGGGTGGTCTGTCAGAGTTTTTGATGCTCTCTTATAGGATACGATTTAGGGAGTAGGAGCTCTTTTTGCATTTAAAGATATAATTGGTCTAGTAGCTTCTTGAAATTTCTCAGAGCTTGCTTTATATATGTCAAGGCAATGTATAGGTGATGGCTATCCTACTGAGAAAAGTTCTGAGGTCATCTTGGGTCTCATTAAGAATGTGATGTCATCAGTTAGCAACGTCAGGTGTGTGTTTTAGAATGGAGGTTGGTGGTAAGCCAAATATTTAATATTCTTTCTTTAAGACTTTTTAAAAAATTCAATGTAATTATATCTAAAAACTTAATCTTCACATAAACTCTTGAGGCAAATACTCCTAGAACCCTCATTTTTGTTCAAGGTACCCAAGTTGCCAGGAACAGACTCAATTTCCCCAAAGTATATAGCCAATTAACAATCTAACTTACATTCAGAAATGTGACTAACTCCAGAGCCTGAGCTTTAACCCCAGATAATGTTTCCTAAGAATTCTGGAGTGCTGATATTTAAAGCTGTTATCATGCACTTATACCCTAGAATGAAAGAATTTCTATTGTCTTACCTAAAGGATGGGAAAATACAAAAGATTAATAAGACTGGCAGGGTTGAAGACAAACTTTATGTACTTTATAGCACAGTGGAAGACCAATCCTTAATTTAAATACTGAAAGTATAGTTTACTATATGACGACTCTAGTAAAAGAAATAAGAATTATTTTGGGGTCGTTTTAAGGATGGAATGCAGTATAGCTATATCATTTACACCTGAAGATCCAACTCTAGTAGACTTAGCCAGACCCTGTCTCAAATTTAAAAGAAAAAGCAGAAGAACTCTCCTCAGAAAAGATTTTTCACCTGTTGAAACGTTTTATTCTTAAAGATGTTAGACACTTTGTCCTAATGAAGTTCTAAACACAGGCAATTCTATGCTGTTTTCCATAAACATTTAAATCATGTTCTTTAATGGTTTTATCTCTTTACTTATGGAAACATACAACCTTCATTTTTCCCTAAGTATTATTTCTGTAATTAACTATTAAATTATTTATAAATATGAAATGTACAGTAAAATAGTTTGAATTTGCCCAAAGGCAAGGAAAATACAAAATTTAAAAAATTCTCCAAATCTTTTTTTAATCTTTTATTGATTTTATTTTATTTTTTATAAATACACAATAGCGGTGGAATGCATTACAATTCTTATTACACATATAGAGAACAATTTTTCATATCTCTGTATATAAAGTATGTTCATGCCAATCCATGCCTTTATACATGTACTTTGTTCTTTTTCCTCCAAATCTTTTTTAAGTGGCGAATAAAATGTCATTGCATGCTTTGATTTCTTGTCCATTCCTTTTCTTTGACAGAAAAATCTGTCATTGCTGAACCAATATTTGTTTTTGAAAAGGGAGAAAGAACTTTCAAGGTAAGATCAGACACTTTTGTTTTTACTTTGTTTTCTTCTATTTTACTTTGACAAAGAAAATTGTATTTCAAGACTCTAGCAATTAACTTAAGACATCATTGCTGCACAGGTTTATCCTATGTTCCCCAGTAGCAGAATAGTGATTCCAGAATATTCATATAACTGGGATTTATAGGATTTATAGGTATTAGTTTAGCTGAAACAGGGTACCTTGTCTGGAAGCTGTGGATAAGATGCTGCTTTTGCTAAAATAATGTTTATTTGGAGTGATTTGAAAAGTGGAGGAACTGAAAGAGATTCGGAGGACTAAGGCTCGACATGGGTCCTCACTGACCTGGTCTAAAACTGGGTATAAAATAAATTCTGAACTGCGATATTTGTTTAAAAGGGTCCTTATGGACTCTATCTGCCTTTTTGAGCATTACACTGAAATCATTCCAATTCAAAGACAAACAAAAGATTAGCAGCAATCTCACTTTAGCTTGTTTTTATTTTGTCTTGGTATTCATTCTTACTATGCAAGGCATTTGCTGCACCACCCACAAGATAAAATAAAGAAATAAAGAAATAAAGAAAGAAAAGTTCAACCTCTAATCCTTTATGAAAAAAGCGGATTCCTATCCAGTATCAACCATTTCAGAGTCTTGAGAGTGGGTGCCTCAAAAATATGCATTTTAAACACATTCCCACAAGGGATTCTGTAGACATTGAGATCTGAAACCACTGTACTAGACTTGTGGGGTTTTTCCTGATTACAAGCCTGGTGAATAAAGGTGAGTTGTTTTGTCTGGTGTGTGTGTGGTAGGTGGTGGGGTGGTGGATTGAATAACCCTGGATCCTGAGCATTCTTATAAAATGGCAAGAAATCTGATGCTAAAACAGCAAATACTGGGCTCTCACTGGCAGCTTTATGTCCTTTCAGAGACCTGCGGAAGACACCCCCTTTGAAGCAGCAGAACTTGGTAATGATTCATATTCTGTATTTCAAAATTAATAAGGAAAATAGGCAAGCACAAGCCTTTTGGCATGTGGCAGACTGCATAAAACAATATACTTTCTTGTTTTTAAACATACTTGTAGATTGGTCTTTGTTTTGCAAGATTCATGCAGGTTCTGAGAACATTGATGTGAGCAACTAAAAGCCCATGATCTTCACTGCCTGCAACTTGGCCTACCAAAAACCTTTTCAGTGGAGACTCAGAATGTGTACACAACTTCCTCTTGAAACCACTCATTTCTAGTTGTTTTCTACTAATATAATATGCTTATGGGTTTATAACCACCAATCTATCAATCCAATATTTAAAACTGGGCATTAGGAGTAAAGATATTAATCAAACTCTGTTTAACTTCCCATATCAGAGTTTGAGGATAATTTATTCTTGCAAGCAGTTACCCTTCCCATTGAATTTCTTGCAGAATGTAATCGTTTCTCAAGAAAGCGTGTACGGTCTTCATCTTTTACTCTGTGTACTGCAGATTCTCCGTCCCAGGGAGGTAGGTATAAAATTGACTGTCAACTATTCATGGCTATGTTTATTCTGAATGTGAAATTAACAAGAAATTTTCCAAAAGGGTAATGTTAAAAGTCTATCCAATGGGCAATGTTTATAATGTATTGTTAATGTGAAAACAACAAGTTATAACATGGATTGTGTAGTGGCTCACAATCCATGTGTTAAGAATTCTTTCAGTTTTGGGGGTAAAAATGCCAAAAGGTCATAACTACACAGTGTTAGCAGTGGTTATCTTAGGTAATGGAATTGCAAGTCATTTGATCCCCCATCTTCACCCTGGCTTTGTGTTTTGCTGTGTTTCCAAATTTCTGTAGTGACCATGTGTTAGTTTTGCAATTAGGGAAAATGGCCCTTATGAAAGTAACCACCTATTTAAAAAAAAAAAAAAAAAGGATGTCTACCCTTTAAAAAGAACTTTATCACACTTATTCTAAGTAAATCATTGACTTAGTCTGTCTGTCTTCTATATCAAAGCACTTCTCTGATCCCCTCCTAATTGGCCTTATTGCTTTGGGCCTTCCTATACAGTTGGTCTGTCTCCTCACTTTGAGTTCCCTGAGGTCATCTTCATGCTTGATAGTGTCTTACATATGGTCAGCACTCAATAAATATTTATTGAAGGGAAAGGAAATTAGTTTATAATCCCCACCAGAGGCTTTCTTTTTTTATTGATAAAATATGAAGATTTCCTGAATTGGTCATCTAAAATGTTTCCCAAACAGCAAAAATCCAAATCAAAAACAAAACAAGGAAAAACACCCCTCTTTTCCTTATTGACTCAAGTTTGCAATCTGCTTTTAGTGTCAACCTTGTCTCAGAAGCGCCTGAGATCTTCGTCCTTCACTGACCTCCCAACCTTCCCCCCGTCTGGTCCAGGTAATAAAGAGCTTCTAGAACCTCAAGCCTGACACTCTGGTTTTTCAAGATCATTCTTATTAATGATGAGGTTTCTTTCTCAACTATCATAAAATGCTAACAAAATCAAATAGAGGCCTTCACAAGGTATGCAGAGAAGTATACTCTATGAATCCTAACTCCACAAACCCAGCCAGTGTATGTGTTTATTTGTGGTAGAAAGTTTGAACTTGATGTTCTTTAGAACTTTATGTTTCTGGTAGTATCATTTTATATAAGGCAGATCTATAAAATAAAAGCAACTTCCTTTATTTATTATCCTCCATCTACATAGTTTATATGGAATTCAAAATATTCAATTATGCTTTAGGTTCATATTCTAATATTTAATTTGTGATTCCATTACAGATTTTTCAGTAATTAAAACATTACTTCTCTTTCCTTGAAATTTGTAATAGTTTACTAAGTAAAAATATTTTTAAATGATTGGTGCTTTCTTCACATTAAAATGATGCTATCCATTCTTGTGTGCTTTTATTTCTACTGAACAAGTTTTTCAAGTTTGCCACTAAGAAAAAAAAAAAAAACAAAAAAACAGTTCACCTGTTTTTAAACTAATCCCTCGGTTCCCTGGAACTACAGAATGTTCAAAGGAGTGAATCTGTATTCTTCTTTAATAATTCCAAACAGGACTGAGCAATAGTCTTTCTCACACAGAAGAGACACAAGCTTAACAGACCTCTTCTAAGCCCAACTGACAAGCTACAGACTTTAAAGAGAAATAGGGGGCCTGATTTCAGAGGCAAAGTGTTCTATCTTAGTGTATTTGTGAATAAAGTAGAGGGCTAGCTTTAAGTTATCCCTTAAGTACATAGCTACTACATTTAAAAAATCACACACACATGCAAACAAAGAACATCTAAGGCAGCACAGATATCAGCAATCAACATTCCATTTTATGTTGTGCAGAATATTGATGATGTTGGAAATGAGAAAAATAGTGCAATTTTATATGACCTCTTCACCGTTGATCACAAAAAAATCATTAAACTTTGAATTAGAGAAGCAATTATATCTAAACATTTATGTTACAATACCTTGAAGAAGCAATTTTTTGTCATCTCTATTAATTAAATGCCCTACAGTTGCTGTTTCTGCAATTTGCAATTAGGAGATTTCCTCCCTTGGACATGTACAGAAATTCTAAGCTTGCAGCCACTGCCAGCCTTACTCTACCAACACACTTCGAGAAAAATAAGGATAATGGTCATCTTGATCTCTCACTTTATCTTCATCAGTGTCAGGGGAGAGTTTGCTAACAGTTTATAACTTCTGTACAAGCTGTATATTCATGCACACAGTGTTTATTATACTGATTCAGATTTTATAATCTGCAGAAATTTCCACAGTACTCAAATTTATGATTCTAAATAAGACTGCCTTTTCTGTCAGTTATCTAATTTTCATTTGTATCTCTTAGGGTAATCAAAATTACGTAGCAAAACTTATCCTGTAGTAAGAGGCACTGCCAGTTAGTGCCAATAGCGACACCTACTGGTCAATTCAGACCAGGCTTTTAAACCCCCAATTTTATATGACCTCTTCTGACACTGATTTTAAAATTTTCTTAATTTTAATCTTAATTAATTTATTTTAATCTTTTCTTACAGTGAAGAAAAACAATGTTTTTATGACATCAAGTCTTGTACAAATGAACACTGACGTGAAAAGTGCGGAACAAGGTATGTAGCTTCAATTTCAAAAACCTCAACAATTTTACATTTTACCATCTTTATTTTCATTTGCATACATATGTATGTTTTTTGAGATGTATGGAGGTAAGGCAGAGAGACAACATATGAAGGATAAAAATATTTGGTAATCCAGGTCCCATGGTCAAAATGAATGCTTTTGGGGCAAAAGCTAGGCATGGAGTGAGTAATAGGCAGTTCACTGGCTATTTTGACTTTCATTAGTTATTATTAGTCCCTTATTTAATCATGATGTTAGAAAACAGCATTATGTTAGTTTAAAATATGGAAAAAAGGAGAATTTCACTAAAAATATATTGACCCTTTACCTCTATTCTTTTAAGGTCCTGTAAAGCATTCTGAACATGTTCTAAGACCTGCTACTTTACAGCCACCTCATCAAGCTCAAAGCTGTGAAAAAATAGGACAAACATTTGGGCAAAATGCCTTGGAATCCGGCAAAATTAAAGAAAAGATGAAACATAAGGTAAGAACTCCCCTCTCTGGCAGGACTGGCTTTAATGCCCCATCCTTCTCCATGGTTGTTTTGAGACCCCCACATCCAGAACCGGGGCTGCCTGAGTTTTCTTTTGTTGTTGAAGTAGCTGCCAAAAAATACCAGGATAGACTGCAAAAAAGTGCTTGGTAACCTTGTTAAATTTATTCTCTTAGGTTGGAGAGTTATTCCCTGAAACAAGTCTTGTGGTTGCTCTAAGTGGTAAAACAGTACTGGGCAGTGGGAAACCATAGGTCTTCTTCCAGAGCATTGAGCCCATATGAGAATCCTAGAAGTAGTGAGGTAGGAAGGGACCAGAGTTGGTCATCAGAGAAGGAAGGGGAATTTACTGCATCCCCAACTGTTCAACAGGTAGTATGGCTTTGTCAGTTTAGGTCACATCAGGGGTTCACTCCAGACCCATCTTCATGGATAGCAAGAGCAGGGAACTTCCTATACAGTGTAATTGGTGCGGGTGGGGTTTGGGTGGGGTGGGGGTGGCGCTGGGAGACATAAAAATTCTCTCCTCTCTTCAAACTAAAAGTTTCTGAGCCACTCACTCTAAGCTTCTCTAGGAAGATTCCCCTTTTGCTCAGGTCATACAGATATGGGTTCGGAGATATCCCACTCCCATAGCTTTAGCTGTTTCTTCCAGCAGAAACAGACACTTAGGAGGAAGGACACACAAAGTAAGAAGTTGGACTATTAGAATTATTCCATCAGCCATCTGAGGAACTATTGAGGGTTGACAAGTTATTTAAGTTCTTTACCTCAGTTTACTCATCTGAACACAGATTCACTTGCTGTGAGGAGTAAATGAGATTTTATACACACACACACACACACACATGGCATATATATACATATATACATATACATGTTTATATATATGTGTGTGTGTGTATATATATATCTCAGGGAATAGGTGGACATAGTAAGCTAGTAAGCTTCCAACATATTTGACATAGCTATCACTTTGTTAAATAGTAAGGCAATTCTAATAAACTTGATGATGGAGATTTTTTCTTTCAGATTTCTGAGGAGAATCCTCATTTATTAAGTGAAAATTTACCAAGTGCCAGAATTTCAGTTCCGCTTTCTACTAACCAGCAATTTTCAGGTTCAACATCAGTAGGGTAAGTTAATGTTGTTTGAGTATCCTTTATCTGAAATGTTTGGAACTAGATAAAGATTGCTTCAGATTTCCGATATTTTAAAATTCTGGAATATTTGAAGTATCTTGGAGAGGAGATCCACATCTAAACATAAAATTTATTTATATTTCATATGCACCTTGAACACACAGCCGGGAGGCAATTTTATATAATATTCTAAGTAATTTTATTCATTTTAATATAATATTCTAAGTAATTTTGTTCACTGTGGTCCACCAGAATTTTCTACTTGTGATGTTACATTGATGCTCAAAAAGTTTCAGATCTTGGAGGATTTTGGATTTCAGGCTTTTGGATTGGATATGCCTAAATTGTAATGACAAAACAGAAGTGTTTTATTCTTCCTTTCTTTTATCCTTATAACCATTTATGAGAAAAAAATTTTCTCACAGTGTATGGAAAATTACCAAGATTTCCATTTAAAAGGACATTTTATAAGAACACAAGATTAAAATGTTTTAAAAATGTCTCTGATATTTAAATATCATCTTAGTACTGGATTGTCTTAATTATCTCTTTGAGTTGGGTGAGAATGTTTCAAAAGGTATAACTAAAATTTTAGTTAAGTAAGCATTAATTAATTATCTGGTTATTAGATTAGTCTTCCTCTTTCTCTGGCATTCCTTTTCCCTCTTTTTAACTATTTTTGGCATTATCTATTATTTATTGGCATAAGCTGTGTAGACAAAAAGGGAAGTGGTATAAACCTACAAAATGGAAAGCTGTTGTTTTTTAACAGTACTGGTGACAAAGGATCAGAGAGAACATTAAAATCAGCTGTGACACATTGACTCACTTGCTCCATCCAGGTGTCCTAGCAATTGTCTGCTGTGCAGGTCGGGGATGCAATAGAGAACCCTGAACACATCTCCCTACAAAGAGAGGGCTGCATGTCTTCAAGTTTCTCATCTGCAAAATACTTTCTTATTTTGGGCACTAAGGATTAAACTCGGGGCACTTAGCCACTGAGCCACATGCCCAGACCTTTATTATTTTTTTATTTTGAGACAAGTTGCTGAGGCTGGCTTTGAACTTGTGATCCTCCTGCCTCAGCCTCCTAAATCCCTAGGATTACAGGGGTATATCACCTTGCCCAGCTTCTGCAAAATACTTTTAACTTTAAGAAAAAAAAATCTGGGAGGTTAAAAAATTAAAACAATGCATGCTCAAGTGTAATGAACAGGATAGATTAGCTTTGCTTTTGCCCTGATGATCTCTGCTAAAATCATCATTGGCCATTGGGGAAGAGAATGCAGATTAGAGATTGCAGAGACAGGGTAGAGAAAGCAAAAAGGTCCCTCCTGGCTGATCTCTCAGCTAGCGCAGGGAGAACACGAGATTGTTTGCATGGGTGGGCACCAATGCTGTAACAGCTGGTGGATATTTTGAAAACCACATATAAAAGTACATACCTCAATGTTTCCGTAATTTCTCATTAACTTCAGATAAAAAAAGTTAGTGGGAAATATTTATGCTTTATATAAATTTTTTAAGTCATTGGAGTATTTTACTGGCTAAGGTATAAAATGCTCTTATTCATATATTTAAAAGAGAAAACATTTATTTATTTTTCTTAGATGTCAACCAAATGGAAAATGTTCTTTTAAAAGCTGCAGTTTAGAGTTTGTCTTTGGAGAAAACATGGTGGAGAGAGTTTTGGTAAGAATTTGGTATATATTTCTATTACCATAGAGAGAGATGTCACTTCAAATTTCTGAAGACAAATTAATTAAAAGTAATGTTAAATTGGAGCATACTTTTTATCTCCTGGGTTCAAAGGCACATTTTCTTATTTTGACTGAAAAGATTCTCTTGGGAAGCATGTCCTAGTTAGAATGCTAGACAGGAACCCACAGAGTAAGGGAACTGCATAATTATAACATTATTACTGATGTGAGATATTAAACAGTTCTCTGACTTGTATTAAACCAAATGTGCCCAAGGAAATCTCAGAATTATCTGTAATAGCTAGATAAGCTTAACTGGTAATGGTATAGTTTTTAATAGCATTTTTATAACAAGATGCATTTAAAAATCACTTTACAGTATATTCTTATTAGTTAATCACAACTCTACTCTTCAAGCTCTTACATCAAAAAGCATTATTACAACATTTTTGATAGGTTTATGAGGAATATCAGTCTTTTCTTGCCTAGGGGAATATGTTACAAAGTGAAAATCCCTGACTATTAATACTTTCATCCTTATTTAATACTGAACGTCCCCCTGCATGCAGCAGCTGCTGCTTGGCTCTCCACAGAGCTGATTTCTAAGACAGCATAATCTGCAGTACGGAATTGTACAACGAAGTGGAGACTGTGGAGCAACTGTGCCTGTGGTTTCATCTGGCCCTTCACACCTTCATGCCTTTTCCCGCTTTCATCCAGACCAGGAGCAAGTTTGCAATAGACCTAGGGAAGTGAGCTTGTCTTAGGGTCACCGGTTGCATCAAAAATCCTAAGGAAGTTGCAGAGACTTTAAAATTTGTGTAAAGGCTCAGATTACTAAAAGGGCAAAGTCACAATGCCAGTCTATTCCAAGATTTTTAGGACTTTCATAGATCTTTCATTTTTAAGACCTTGATTATTCTAGTCCTGTCTCAGTTTACTCCTCAAGTCTAATAGTTGTATCGTAGCTTTTTAGTTGAAAAACACCCTTCTGTTACTCCCAAGAAGGTCAACTCTACCAGCCCTAGAGCTGCTGACCCACATCTTTGGATCTGAATCAGAATGTACCAAGCTCCAGGGTGAAGTTCCATGAGATATATTTAGGCACATTTGTTCCATATTATTTATTTCTAAGTTTGACACTAGATTAGTTACAGCTTCTGTGAGCTGTCAGACACAATTAAGATGCCTTCTAATCTTCACAGGATCAGCTTAAACATTCAATTCAATTTACCAGTCATGGATTGAGTTCCTAGGTATATGAAGCATTAAATCTCAAGTTTGGCTGCATATTAGAACCATCTGGTGAGCTTTTAAAGGATTTCTTATACCTGGGCCTCACCCCAGACCAGTTAGGTCAGCATCTCTGTGGGTGAGGCAAGGTGTCAAGTGATTCTAATGTACAACTAGCTTTGAAAAGTGTCCAAGTGGTTATGTAAAGCCAAAAGAGTCATGTACCCCCAGAGGGACTTAGGATCTGGTAAGAGGAGACAGACAGCTATCTATACAAACAACGGTAGGAACCACAGAGGTTTGTTTTGAGAAAACACTTGTGCACATTCTTATGGGAATTTGAAATTTGACTTAAAAAAGGACCTGAGCTTCATATCTCTTTCATTTAGTAGTGTCCTAAGGATAATGGGACCTACAGAGATAATGTGTCCTGTTGGTTTCCTCTAATTAGTCTCGAAAGCCTGTGGTTTTGTGATTTGGGGGCCAGGATGCACTCCTGGCTTGTTGGCTGACCACATGATTTTTAAAGAGAATCATTAAACTTTCATACTCAGAGTTTCCATTTTCTTAAAAATGAAAAGAGTTATGCCAGTCTCTACCAATTTTAAGGAACTATCTCAATGTCCAATTAAATCATATGAAAGAATCTTGAGTTCATAAAAGAAAAGATACGAATGTGAGCTCTTAAGTACCATCGTTACAACTTTTCCTGTTCTACAGGGGGCTTTACATGGTTATAGTAGCATGGTGTTCTTTTTACATGCAGGCTTTGATTAAATCATATGTACAGAGCCCCAGATATGCAGTCTCAAATGTGACTGTGCCAAATATTGTTAGAGGAAAAGTTCTGATTGTTTCTATAAAGTTGTTTTTTAAGACATCTAGTGGAGTCTCTGAACAACTTTTTTATTTTTATTTTTTTAATTAAGTACCTAATAAGAGTAAATTTCTGGGGCTGGGGCTGTAGCTCAGTGGTAGAGCGCTTGCCTCACATGTGTGAAGCACTGGGTTCAATCCTCATATAAAAATAAATGAAGACACATGTCCAACTGCAACTAAAGAAATATTAAAAAAAAAAGAGTGAATTTCTGGGAATGCTGAACTACCTTGAAATATAGAGGATAGTTGCACTTCCTGGGAGTTGCTATCTTTTTTTGGCTCCACTAGAACTTTCCCCATTGTTCCTGAGGCTAGATCCAGTCTGAAGGAGGCTGGTGGTGACTAGATTATGTTTTTTTGAGGATCAGAACTAAGGCCTGAAACAATAGCGTAGAGCTCCCGGTTCCTCCAACAGGAATACTAGAACCAAAACACAGCAGCTGGGATTGTGTGGGAAATAGAACAACAAAAACATCTTTTGTAAGAAGATACCTGCTAATATACTTGTAAATTGCAAATATGTAGGGATAACATTAAATAATGCATCTTTTTACCTACCTAGGGAACTCAAAAACGAACCCAGCCTCAACTTGAAAATGATTCAAATGCCAACCAAAACACATTCAAATCCATTCTGAAACTCCCTATCAACTCTCCAAATTCAAGTAAGAATTCAACATATAATTACTTTGTCTCCTGTTTTCTATGTCACTTATTTAATAGCTATATATTTTTAAAAAACCAATAATCCAATATTTAATTTTTTTGGTAAAGATTAAAACACGTAAGCTTTAGAAAATGTTTGACTTAATGCTAGGGGGGAGTCAATAAGGAGAAACTCAAGCAGTTTGATTTTTTATTTTTAATATAAGGAGATATGTGCATTAATAGGAGCAACAAATAACCTTCACTACAGAGGAAATGGGACCTTTATGTGGTTTTCCCCTCATGTTTTCTCTTAGGAACAGACTCTATTAACAATGCATCCCTAATTGAATCTGCTGCTGCTTTCTCTTCCCAACCATCTCGAAAATACTTGCTGGAGAAAATCGACATAATAACAGGGGAGGAAGCAGAATATAATGTGTTAAAGGTCTGTATATCATGTATTGCTCTTTCTGGTGGCACTTACATATATGGAATAAAGTTACTCTCAGCAGGGCAATTTTAAAAAATGCTGAAAGAAATATAGTTTTAATTAAGACTACATTGTTTAAATATAAATGTCAGAAGCTTCCAAAGCTCAAGCCAATATATTGTTATCTTCCCACATCTGTATGTATAATTTTCAGAAAAAATGGGTTGTTACCCAAATGGGTAGATCCTTAGAAAGAATACAGCCAGGGATCCGGTCTCAAAATAACATCAGACTTTCCCTCTATACTTTTCATGCCTGTTTTTATGATCAGCGCTATTATCATACGATTGATTAATTCTACTTACTTACACTGAAAGGTTTTTTTAAAAAAAACATTTATTTTTTAGTTGTAGGTGGACACAATACCTTTGTTTTATTTTTATGTGGTGCTGAGGATTGAACCCAGTGCCTCACGTATACTAGGCGAGTGCTCTACCCCTGAGCCACAACCCCAGCCCCTACACTGAAGGTTTTTAAATGGTCATAAGAAGACAATTTCAGTTTAAGGTAAAACTTTTTTTTTTCCTTTTAGGAAGGTTAGACTTGTGTACAAATCAAGAGTTTTATAGATGTATGAAAGTGTCATATTTGAGTGTTGAGTGGTATTCAGGGTACCACAACTTCATCATTTTTCAAGGAGGCAGTGATTTCCCTTTGCCTTTCCCCTTCTGCTTTTCTCTCAAGGTCTCTCCTTTCCTCCATGACCTACAGATATTTTCATTCTAATAAGTGTATCTCAAAGCATAATCCTCAGATTAGACTAACTCCATTCTTATTGAAGTAATTGCTAGGGGTGAGGCCCTGACGTGCTATATTTTGAATAGGGTTGTCTAGCTGATTTTTATACATAGGAGTATTTAAGATCCACTGATAATCACTAAATTATAGTAAGCATTTTATGGTATCACATCATATTTCTCCAAGTTCTCATGCTGACTTTGAAAATTTTTAAGCATGCTAGTAGCTCCATGAATCCTTTCAAATGTCATTCTGTAACTCAAATAATATTAAGATTAATGTAAAAATTAGTATATATAGAAACATGTGAAGTGAAAAGCAGCAAGTATGGGTAGTAATCTACAATTTATAGAAAAAAAAAGAGAAGAACAAATATATGAATTGGCACATATATATGTACAGATATTTCTGGAAGGATAAACAAAATGTCATAGTGGTTACCAGTTACAGGGGTGGAAATTATCAGATGGGGAACAAGGGTTGGGGTTCTTTTTTACTTTGTAAGGGGTTTTGTTATGGAGTTATATTTAAAAATTACATGTTTTTAAAAGTCAGATAAATTTCAAAAGGTGGTATATAAGTAATCAACAAAGGTTATTATGGTAAAAGATCAAATAGATATGAAAGTGTTATAAGCATAGGAAATAACTTACTTTGAAAAAATTTATATATTTGATTTTTTAAAAATTGTCATTTAGATCAACTGCAAGCTTTTTATATTCAACAAAACAACTCAATCCTGGATTGAAAGGGGCAGAGGAACTTTGAGACTGAATGACACAGCAAGCAGTGACTGTGGAACATTACAGTCAAGACTAAGTAAGGAATCACTTTGTAAAGCAAGCCATGATTTCTCAGGGTAAAATTTCTGACATAAGTACACATGACTTCCTAGAGATGTGTTATAAAACACACCAATAAATCAGACTTCCTGTCAGACTGCATGGGTTCCAGCTCTGGCTCCACCACCGACTAGCTGGTGACCTTGGGCAAGTTAACTTAACCTCTTTGCCCTAGCTGAATCAATTTAAAATGGGGATAACTATATTTCATGACTTTTTGGGATATTGTGAGAATACAGCAAGACAACTCCATATAAAGCACCTATGTCAGAGCCCCGGACACACCTAAATAGTCATATTATTATTAGAAGGAATATGATGCAAATAAGTTTGTGAAGTGAAAAGTTATTCAAAAAGAAAATACCTGTTCCATAATCTGTTCTTGGAATCCCAAACATGGCATGGGCTGGAGGGTCAGTTTCTAAGGAAACAGGTGTGTGGTTATTGACTCCTGCAAACAGAGCAATGATCAGAAGCTAACATCAAACTGAAAGATCCAAGAGATTTGGTGTGTTAGTCAGCTTTTCATTGTTCTGACAAAACACCTGAAATAAACAACTTAAAGGAAGAAAGATTTATTTTGGCTCATGGTTTTAGTCCATGGTCAACCAACTTCATTGCTTTGGGCCTGAGGTGAGACATAGCATCATCATGGCAGAGAGGCATGGTGGAGGAAGAGAGAGTGGAAGGGGTCAGATATAAGAAATACCCATGCCCTCAGTGATTTACTTCCTCCAACTAGGTCTCACCTTCTAGGGTTTCTATCATCTACCAGTAATGACATTAAATTATTACTCTATCAATAGATTAATCCACCGACGAGGCCAGAGCACTTGTGATCCAGTCACTTCCCAAGAGCCCCACCTCTGAACACTGTTGCACTGGGGACCAAGCCCTCAACCGATGAGCCTTTGGGGGACATTCCAGATCCAACTCATAATATTTGGCATCCAAAAGACACACTGAGCTTTGTTTAAAGGCCAAAACTAAAAGTGAGCACAGGAAGAGAGCCAGGCATAGTGAGTAGGCTTGCCAGTCAGTTTTGAGAGGCCAAAGCTTTTCAGGAGAATACTGACAGGAGATAGGTTCAGGGACATGTATATTTGTTGAGTTTCAAATATTGGGTTCAAGAAATGGATAAGGAATAGAATTCAGATTAAAAGAATAGGAACAGTGTTTTCAGTGACTGGCAAGTAGGTTTCTTTTTTTCTTTTTTTTTTTGGGGGGGGGTACAGGGATTGAACTCAAGGACACTTGACCACTGAGGCACACCCCCAATCCTATTTTGTATTTGATTTAGAGAAAGGGTCTCACTGAGTTGCTTAGTACCTCACTTTTGCTGAGGCTGGCTTTGAATTTGTGATCCTCCTGCCTCAGCCTCCTGAGCCACTGGAGTTACAGGTGTGTGCCATTGTGCCTGTCCTGACAAGCAGGTTTCTAAGTAACTCAATCAAATAATATTCCCAAGGCAGTATTAGTTGTTCTCTACTCTGGTTTAATTCAATTGCCCACCAAAAAACAAAACAAAAACAAACAAACAAACAACAAAAAAAAAAAAAACAAAGAAAGAAACAAAACCCCCCAAACAATTTTTCTTTTTATTGTGCAGGTAATATATGTTCACTGTACAAAACAAAAAATGTGGATCCACGAAAAGAAAAAGAAATCACTTAAAGGCCTATCTTCCTGAGAGAACCTCTGAACAGTCCATTCTTGTGGACCTTGTTCTTTGGATACATATACGTATACACAGTTTGTGAAATTTGTGATTCATGCTGCCTTGGAACCTGACATTTTTTCAATGGTCTCCATGATTATCTTTCCATATCACTATATATTTCTGCAGTATTCTTAATGGATTCAAAATATGCTCTTGAAATGCTGCACTGTAATTTTCCCAATTCCACTTTTTGTATGCTTAAAGTTTTTGTTTCAGTTTTCTCCATTATAAACAATTCTTGGACAAATATTCTTTAAAATTTTAACCATTTTAAAATATAGTTATAGCATTTAAGCTAAAAAAAAGCTCTTCAACATAATAAAGCTCAAATATGGTTTGAAAACCAAGTTATAATCTAGTCAAATTATAACTTATTAGTGAAAATACTGTCTGACAAAAAACTACAATATTTAAAAAATGGTGAGTTTCCTGGAAGGCCAAGGAATCAAGAACTGTAATCTGATATATTCAACTTCCTATTATAGTTATGCGCAATCAAGGCAGTCTGAGGCTAATCCTCAACAGCAAACTCTGGGCTCAGATGAAAGTTCAAAGAGCAAATCGGAAAAATTTGCGAATAACGGCTACTAATTTAGAAGACAATAGCATCAAAGTATTTTTAATTCAGGTAAGTGACAAATTTCAGTGATGGAAGATTATCCTACTAATACATTAGTAGATCTCTGCAGTTCCTCTTTTGCTTTTCACTGGTATAACAATCTGTACTATTGGCAAAGAAATCAGCCATTTGTTAGTTATTTGTAGTTTAATATAATTTTATGTGGAGCTCAGAAATTAACATCAAAGTCTATAGTAATCATTTAGTACCTGTCAAAGACATTTGTATTGGGGTTGGGGTTGTGGCTCAGTGATAGAGCGCTTGCCTAGCATGCAAGAGGCACCGGGTTTGAACCTCAGCACCACATAAATGTAAAATAAAGATATTGTGTCCACCTAAAACTAAAAAATAAATATTTTTTTAAAAAGACATTTGTATCATATATGCCATCTAATCTACCTTTCCTTCCACTATTGAAATTGTGCCAAGTATCTTAATAAGTTACCAAAGTGATTATATTGTCAGCAATGGCTCCCAGGAAGAGGTTGGCAGAATCTGAAGCCTGATGTTAATACTGGAAGCTGAGATAACGAAGGCTTTGGGATCACTGGAAAGGAGCCAGTGAGAAATGGAAAAATACAGGGTTAGCAAGTTATAATAACCAATCCAACAGCAAATTCCAATTCTGAACATGAGTCAATCTCCAAGGTAACAGGATCGGAGCACAGTTTAGCTGTTCCTGGCAGGAAGAATGCTTGACCTCAAATACAAGATCCAGACACAAGAAAGCTGCCAAGAAGAAAGCCCCTCTCCTCTTGGGAAAAAAAGCTGGGTTTCCCTGGTGGGCTGAGACCCAGAATACTGGGGAATACTGAATACTCAAAGGATTTAGGCAGATGGAAATAACACAAGTAAATGGGCTTCCATAAAATAATGGAGCAAAAAGTTTGTGCCCAGTGATTAAAAACAAAGCCAAAAAACCCCAAAGGTTTTGAATTTAACTATAAATAAGAGTATTGTCAGGTGCAAGTAATGTTGTGTATTAAAATGTTAGAATGAGATGATGTTCGAACCCTGTTTGCCATTCAGGAAGATACTATTTTATACTCTGCCAGGCCAGACTCCCTTGTTTTGAATGAGAAAAGTAGTGTGCCCCAAACTGAGACTGATAAGACTCTGCTGCTCAATACCTAACCCATGCTGACTTTTTAAATTGTAGGATGTTTATTAGAGATAAGCAAACCACATATAATAAAAATCACTCAAAATTCCAACCTCAGAGATGAGGATTATTATTTTTAATTTATTTTTTGTTTTCAGAGATGATGATTATTAGTAACACTTTGGTTTATATTTACATTGATTGAGCATACCTGATTTGAAAATTTGAAATCCAAATGTTCCTAATACCCCAAACATTGAGCCACATAGATTGCCATATATAGAAAATTCCATACCTGATCTCATGTGATGGGTCCCAATCAAAACATAGGCACATTAAAAATATTGTAATAAAACTGCCTCCTACTATGTGTGAAGGTGTAGGTGAAACATAAATTTCATGTTTAGACTTGGATTCCATTCCAAAGATGTCTTTTATTATGTAAATGCAAGTATTCCAAAATTTGAAAAAAATCCAACTATGTGTATATACATATGTGCCATACTGTATATTGTAAGACTTCCAGGCAAGTTACTTAGACTTCTTTACCCTTACTTACTCATGTGCAAAATAAAGGAAATGATAAAGGACTTTATAAAACTGCTTGAGAAAAATTAATAGCAAAAATGATTATGAAAAACACATTTGTGATTTTTCACTCATCAATGTAAATGAGCGTTTTTATACTATTAAATAGTTGTATGCTGTCCAAAAATTATTTAGTAGATGTAACAGTTTGATTCTATTATGTGTCATAAATGATTACATTAATCCCAGTGACCTGAATGATAAAAACCTGGGATTCAAGTTTCAGCATTCTGCTGAGTAGCTGTAACTCAGACAAGTCCTTTTACCTTTCTGAGCCACAGTTTCCTCATTTGTAAGGAGAAAAGGAAATAAGTAGATACTGAATATCTTTAATACCTGCTTTTGCTAATATAATGGAATAAACAATGAACCCTCTGATATTATTGTAAAAATTAAATAAAGAAGAATAGTGTTAATATTGTACAATGTTATTGTTACCATTATTTTAATATTGATTAAAAAATTAAAAGAAGCATAGAAAAGTACTGGAAAGCAAGAACTGCTGATGTGTTTACTGTAAATATCATAGATTGTTTTCATGAACTTTGCTTTTTCGTCAAGCTATGTGGTGTGGAGAAATGTCTAAGCAAAGTGATGGAAAGAAAATGAAAGTCTTTTTTTTCCCCCCTTAAAACAGTGGAAGAAGAATGGCCTTAGCAGACTTCAATTCAAACAGAAATCTTAAATGACAGTATTTTACTTTCTCAATTTACTTTTCTATTTTTTTTGTGCAGTGCTGGGAATTGAACCTGGGGCCTTATGCATGCTAGGCAAGAGCTCTACAACTGAGCCATATGCCAGGCCCCTACTTTCTCATTTTAAAATGTATAAATTGGTAGATGAATGGATAAAAAAATGTGGCATATATACACAATGACATATTACTCAGCAATAAAAGAATAAGATCATGGCGTTTGCAGGTAAATGGATGGAGTTTGAGAATATAACGTTAAGTGAAGTTAGCCAATCCCAAAAAACCAAATGCCAAATGTTTTCTTGGATATAAGGAGGCTGATTCATAGTGGGATAGAGAGAGGGAGCATGGGAGGAATAGACAAACTCTAGATAGGGCAGAAGGGTTGGAGAAGAAGGGGGTGGGCATGGGATAATTAATGATGGTGGAATGTGATGATCATTATTATCCAAAGTACAGGTATGAAGACATGAATTGGTGTGAATATACTATGTATACAACCAGAGATATGAAAAATTGTGCTCTATATGTGTAACAAGAATTATAATGCATTCTGCTGTCATATATAAATAAAAAAGTTACATAAAAAAAGAAAAAAATGTACAAATTGGAACCTATTATTAAATTATTCACTTTAGGATGCAATTTGGTTCAAAATTAATTGGCTTTTTATTCCTTAATTTGTAGGATTGTTTGCATTTATTTACATTCTCTATTTATGCCATACAATTTCCTCCTTATTAGTAGGGAAAATTAAAAATCTATCAAATGTAGCTAACATTAGTATGTGATTTGTATTATTAACTTAATGTTCCTAATGCAGGCTAGTGTCAAAGATACAGGATTTCTGTATGCAGCCATACATCATCGTCTTGTTGCACTTCGAAGCTTTGATAAGCTTCAGAAAGATGTCAATCAATTTGAAAGTCAGTCAGAAACAGTCCTTCAACAATTAAGCTGTGAAAGCTGTGATGAGGATGAGGATGATTTCACCCAAGTTACTAAAAGTGGATCAGGTAAATAACTTACATTTTGATTAAAAAAGAGATTTAAAAGAAAGAGTTTGAAAAGGAAATATTAAGCACAATCCCTAGATAGTAAATAGACTTAAAAAAGAAAAACAAACTGATCTGTTAAAGTGGGTTTTCGTTAGAGCCCTGGCTATTTGGATTCTAGGAACGGGTTGGAAAATTCCTGTCCTCTGTATGTCGTCTTCATTAGGATTTTACCAAGCCAGCCTCACTGTGACTCATGCATGTCACTTGCTTACACATTGTACCCAAACTATATTTTCATTGGGTATGGTGGCCCATGCCTGTAATCCCAGAGGCTCAGGAGGTTGAAGCAGTAGTATTGCAAGTTCAAGGCCAGCCTCAGCAACTTAGCAAGGTTGTAACCAATTTATAGAGACCTTGTTTCAAAATAAAAAATAAAAAAGGGCTGGGAATGTAGCTCAGTTGTAAAGCACCTCTGGGTTCAATCCCCAGTACCAGAAAACAAAAACAAAAGAAAAAGGAGAAGGAGAAGAAGCAGAAGCAGCAGCAACCACAATATTTTCAATTTTTAAGTATTTATGTTGCTACCTGGAAACTAACCACTTATTCATATTTCTCTTCATTTGTTCTCATTCTCTTATCAACTATCATAGGGGAAATTATAAATACACATAACAGGGCCATGAGGTAAATCTGGCTTCAAACCCTGAAAATCCTGTTTATTTTCCTTTTGAAATTTGGCTACTTGTAAAGATAACTAGGTTGCACATAATCAATCTTCAAGTCTTCCTTTGCCTAGGGTAAAAAAACCCCTTCTATTTCTTCTATTGTGCCAGGATCCACCAATAAACTAAGGTCAAAGTGCAGGCAGCAGTAAATAGATTTTTAGGTTTTGTTTCAGTGCTTGTCTTTATGTGTGTATTTAAAAGTAAAATTCATCAATTTTAGAAGACACATTGCCAAAGAACAGTAAGCTTGACTTTGTTATATGCATATATAACGTATAATATTTCATTCTAATAAGTTATCCAAGAATTTTCAGTCATAGTTTCACTTAGCCCTGAATTCTCTTTTATGGGGGAATGAGTAATATAATTACAAAGATATTGTAGTAATAAGCATTTTAAGACTTTTAATAATTTTTAAATCTTAAAGTTGTCTAATAATATATAACAATACTTTCTCAAAGAATGCATGTAGAACTGGATAAAAAAAACTTTTTTTTCCTAACTTTAAACATAAATACAAAGAAAAATACATAAAACATGCAATCAGGATGATAGTCTTTTTGACTCAATGAGCCAGAGAACTAAGTGATACAAATTTTTGCTACTTTTAACAAATCTATAAAACAAATGGTTTAATATTGTCTGAAATATATGCATGAATAAATGGGATGGTCTTTTATTAAAAAAATGTCAATTTGAAATAGGTATTCGTGGCAAAATTCTCTGTCAAACAATGAGACCTATTTTTGATATTTATATTCTATCTCAGGAAAGGGTGGCATGTAACTAACTTAATGCAAAACAATGGAAATAATGTGAAGCAAATGTCAATCAGATGAACTTCCCTTCTTTTGCCATTATTTCCCCTTTTTCACTGTCTTCTCCAGAAGGCACTGCAAACAAATGCTAAAATGTTATGGAAGTTATAGAAAGCCTAATTTTTTGGACTTTGTTGCCATGAATTAATGAATATTTTTAATGATCTGAAAATATCATATTTGAAATTATTAGCAACATTTCTAAATGTTACTCACAAAACAGATCTGTATTTTTAAAATTTCCTTATCAGTGAGCATATTCATGTTTAGTTGCATTCAATAATAAATCTGGTCTAAATATAACATTGTATAATAAAATATTTCAAATTTATATCACAGATCCTTCTAGGTGGACCAACAGACAGTCGGTTGCCTGTTCATGAGTACTACCTACCATAAATATGACAACATCTATAAAACAATTGGTCATCCTCCTGAAAATACCAAACCATCTTAAATAAGAAGATCCTATTCATTCCTTGAAGAGTTTTTACAGAAAAGTTTAAGAAATATAATTTACTGCAATTACAAATGTCTCTTATGTTTTACATTTTATATTTTGATTATTGTGGAGAAAATGACAGAACTTAAGAAATAAATGGACTTCAGAAGTTCAAAATTTATTGTCTTTGAGAAAGTTAATTTAGACTAGGATTGGATAGCTACTTTGGACTACTCATCACATTGATGGATATCATACTTAAAGTTGTAAATTGTTAGATTCGATAAATAACTAACTAAAATATTTATTTTTTCAGACATACATTGTCTGGCCATAAAACAAATATTTTACTAAATTTCCAGTCTCATTTCTTTAAAAAATATTATAATTGCAAAACATTTCATTAAATCATGTTTATCTTCTGGGAAATGTATATTTTCACTTGGCATTTGGATTCCCTAACAATATAAGCTTCTACATTCAAGCATGAATTCCTTTGCAGAAAGTTTCTGTTCTCGAACTTGTATCCATTGCATCTTGTATATGCTTGACTCTTGGTCAGCACATGATAGTTGTTGAATGAATGAACAAACTATAATAAGTTATCTATATATCAAAAAAGCAAGTATACAAAAAGCCAAAAAATTTTAACTTGTTCTTTGCTTTATTTATGTAATTAAATTGTCATTAATATTCCAGTCGGTGTGGCGTATTAAGACATTTTTAAAATGAATGTACCACATGTAGTCAAATGAGTCTTTCTCCTAAATTCCATTATTATGGTAGACTACAGAAATTCAAACAATTGTGCAACAGAATTTTGGTGCTTTTCTTTGGGATTTGTTTCAGAGATAGTTTATGCACCATACAAGAAAATTAGTACTTAAGCCATATTTCATTTTCAGTACAGTTTGATTACCCTAGGGCTTTAAAATTACTTTTGATGAGGATCCCTAAACAATTCCCCTATTAGAGGACAAAGATTCACAATTACAAAATGATTTCTGAAAATGTTTTGAATGATGACAATATAACTGGAATAAGGTTATAACTTCACAAAGTTCTACATTGAAGACCAATGTTCATTTAGAAATATTCATGTGAGAAGGAAAGTTGCATTACTTTATTACCTTTTATAGTAATAAAAGCAATCTCTCTCTCTATATATAATCTATCTAATCAATATTAAATTTAACCTTAGCTAATGCCTGAAAGGTTAGCATATGAAAGTGGAATTAACTACTTTAAAGACTATGATTTGGTGAATATGTTAATTATTTAAAGTTTTGCTCTTTACCCAGGACTAAGTAACTATAACTTAGTATAGCTACTCAGAGAGGTCAGTTCATTCTTCCATTCTTAGTGCATAAAATCCTTTACTTAAAAACAGTGGCTCAGAAAATGAAAGTTAATGTGGAAAGGAAGAAAGGAAAGGTAGAGAGAAGAAAATAAATCTTTGAAGAGAAGGATATAAATAATTAAAAACAGGTATTTAGACTTTCTCTAGACCTCTACCCTGCCTCCCCTCCCCACTCCAGAAGAGTGATTCTGATGTAGCATACACTCAGTGGAGTCTCACTAGAAACACAACATAAACAGGGAGACATTTGAAGAAGATATTGAAGTATTGGTTCTCTTTTCTCATAAGATCTTAGCTATGTGGGGATATTGTGATTACAGTATAACTGTTAAAGTGAAGTACAGAACAGAAATCTTCTTCATCTTCCTGATGTGATCATTTTTGTCCCTATGCTAATGTGGATATGAAGCAATATTTTATAAATACCCCAAACATTTCAATATAAGTTTAATGAATTCTATCATTTTCTTTGGATTTCTCTGCATATATCAAAGGGAAAAAAAAGACCATCTAATTTGTGCTCTATGTAGAAATACCAGTGCAAGAGAACCAAACTAGGATTAGAATATCAGGAAGGCATAGAGAGAAGACGTGAAGGTGTCTGGACAATGAATATAGAGGGACAGCAGGAATGATGTTTAGCTCATGATCTTCTCAACCCATTTCAATGACAGAAATAAAAAATTTATAGCTTTCCCTTGTCTTATGTTGCATCTAGCCATCTTCTTTTGGCTTTCTATGTTCTTTGACCCTCTTTAATGCGAAGAGATCAATTTTACAATGGTATTCACTTTCATAAGTTACTTAGCTATGTGACTTCAAAGCCTACATTTTCGATTTTCACAGAGGTTGTTTATATTAAAATTTACTTAACTAGAATAAAATATATTAGTTATCTATGTATAAATCTTATATTAAGATAATTTAAATCTTATCTTTCAATAGGATTTTACCCCAATCTTGAAGCTTAATTATGGGCTGTTAAAATGTTTTTTCTTGAAACAATTATTATTTTACATTTGTTACTATGGAAGCAAGAATACTTAGTCCCCAGGGGAAAACATCCTATAAAAGTCTCAAAGAATGCAAATGTCATAAAAGAGAGGTATATATCTTCATCCTTTCTCCATATTTTTATTGGTGCATTATAATTATACATAGTAGTGGGATCTGTTGTTACATATTTGTACATGCACATGATATCACAATATAATTTGGTTCAATACATTCCCCAGTATTTCCCCCTCTCTCTCCTCCTCCCTTTCCCTGGTCCCTTTCCTCTACTAGTCTTCCTTGATTATGAAAATTGAAGGCTGTCTTTTGTAGAGTCAGCTATATATGAAATGAGATGGACAGTTTCTAGGAATTGGGAAAGATACATCTTATGATCTCTGTAAATCTTTAAATTATGAATATCACAATGATATATAATATTTCCCCCCCAAAAAACTTTGAGAACAATTAAACTTGCTTAAAATGTGGTTATCACTTGGCTGGCTAGGCTCATTTACCAGAAAAATATACCAACCTTACCATTGATGAAGTTCAAGTTTGAAACTCTCATTCACTAGAAAAACTCACCAGCTTCATCATAGATGGGTTCAAATTTGAAACTCAATAATATTACAGTGGTTTTCTGTATCAGGGATTGAACTCAGGGGCACTCAACCACTGAGCTATACTGGCAGCCCTTTTTATTTTTTATTTTGAGATATTAAGTTGGTTAGGCGCTTGCTAAGTTACTAAGGCTGGCTTTGAACTTGCCCTCCTCCTGCCTCAGAGTCCTGAGTGACTGGGATTATAGGCATTTGCCACTGTACCCAGTAATTTTTTTTAGTTATTTGAGCGTATGTGAAACTGATATTAGATCCATGAATGAATGTCAGAAATCTCCCCCCAACCCCAATAGTCAGATTATAATTATAGTATTAGTTAATTTTTGACTTCAGAGTTGGAGTTAACATGAATATATTTAAAATTTCTATGATATTCACTAACTTTGGCATTGGAGGAATTATTGAAATGACTGGTGAATGTTTAGCTTCTATGGATTTGATGATATAGTTTTCTAACAACCAGAGTATTACTAAGATTTCTTAATTTCTACCAATCAAGTGGATATAAAACACTATTTCCTTGTGACCTTAATTTGTATTTTCCATTAAATATCTTTCCAGGTATTTATTCACTGCTGTGTTCCTCCTAAGAAATTACTCTTCATAATTTTTGCAAAGCTAAAAATTGTCATTTTCTCTTTTTGTTGTTTCCTAACATATACACGATAAAAGCCAAATTCCTATGTATGAATATAACACTTTCCAGGTCTTTACTCCATCTTTAGCTTGAATCCCAGTGTTGCTTATCCCTCTCTAAATTCTCTAGGAATTAAGAAATGCTATTTCATTACTTGTATGCTTCTGCTTATATTATTTCTTTTTGCAAAATTCCTTTCTCACTCTTGATACCAATGCTTCACTCATTCTTTAGAACTTAGCTCCTGGTATTTCCAGAATGCTTTCTCTAATTCTTCTTAGGCTGAATTAAGACGTATTCCTCCAAATTCCTAAAGCACTATGTGGGTAACTCTCTTATTACATAGATTTTAGGATACTCAAGGGGAAGGATTCTTTAGCACTTACCAAGAGATTTCTACTGGTAGGTGTTGTATATATAAAACTCAAAAGAGATATTATCTGATAGGAAGCTAAGAAAGAGGATTTGAAGCCCAAGAGAAAATACTGGCTAAAGTTGTTGGAGTAGATGAAGTCAGGAAAGGGAAAAGGGGTAAATATTTGCCAATGTTTACTTTTTAATGGACACAGGGCTAGGTATTTGTGCATGTATCTACAACTTTCTGAGGTAGCTATTATGTTTCATAAATGAAGAAGTAAGCCCAGAAAAGTTAAACAACCAGTTCAAAGTTCACAAAGCTAATAAATGTTAAAGCTGGGATTTGAACCAAAGTCTTTCAAGGCCTGAGCTCTTTTCATTGCACAACACTGGAGTTCACTCAGGAGTGGAGGGGGCTAGCAAGGGAATGTGAGAAAGAGGGAGAAAAGAAACAAGGACAGAAGATAGACTGTGGAGATGGGTTTAGGAAAAATTCAAAAAGGGAAAAGAGATGGAAGAAATACCATTAGGGACTGATATACAGGGAGACATAATAAAAGACCAGAGAAAAACTGATAACCATTTCAAATTCTGCAAAAAGATCAAGTAATTTAAGGACTGGAAAATGTCTTGAGTTCAGTCACATCATTTGGTAACCTTTGAAATGGCAGTAATTAGTGAAGTAGTGGGACTCTTGATCATAACCAGTTGAGGGCTGAAAAATAGGCAGGGATGTGGCAATGACTGATGAGGAGATACTCTTCCAAAAATCTTTGCTGCAGCAACAGGAACATAGGAAATAAGTAAAAACTAGGGCTTATAAGCTTCTTTCTTTAAAATTTTAATGTTGTAATAGACATGAGCATGTTTAAGTACTGAAGGGGAAAATCCAGTAAGGAGGGAGAACTCAAGATACATGGGAGAGGATAACTTAAGGAAAGAGTTTTCAAGGAGAAGGGACCCAACATAATAACGGACAAAGGGACATCCTGAGAAGATGTCAATGTATATTACACTTGTAGCGTCAAATGGAAGAGGATCAAAAATGTCTTTATTTGTGAAGTGGAAAAGAAAGAGTTCTGAAATTCACGTATGCCCAACAAAACTCATAACTTTGATCTTAAACAGGTTCTCCTACTTCATTTTTTTGTCAAATGGATTAACTAACATTCACCCGGGCTTCAAAATTCAGTGTCATCTGTGATTTCTCTCTTCCTAATAGCTAATGAATTATGATGTGTTAGAATAGGAAGGATCCTGAGGATATCCAAGTTACAGGTAAGTTACCTGCCACAGAAGTTAATAAGTTATTTTAAGGTTGTTAAAGTCCTAATGGGAAGGAGTCAGTGACAAAAATTTTAGAAGTAAACACCTATCAGACTAAATTATTTACGTTCCCAGCCTAATATGCTACCTGACACACAGGAGGCACAGGAAAAATACAATGAACCAGTTAATGCGTGCCAGTGCTGGTGGCTAGCTCAGAAATACAAGATTCACTGAGTCAATGTGAGCTTGGTAGAACCTTATAATCACCACTTTAATCTCAGTTTACAGTGGAGGAATTTGAGGCCCAGGAAGTATAACCTGCCCAAAGTCAAAAGGTATTTACTGGGTAGTCTGAGGGCTACAAAGTGTAGAAAGAAAGTGTCAAAGCAAGAAGATCTACTGAGCAGAAGGTATGGAACACTAGGATGCCCCTAACACTTGATTCTTTCCTTAGAATATGGATTCTTTCCTTAGAATATGTCCTTTCCCTTCTACTCCTTTTTTTTTTTTTTTTTTTTTTTTAGTGCTAGGGATTGAACCCAGGGCCTTAATGCATGTGAGGCAAGCACTCTACCAGCTGAGCTGTATCCACAGCCCTCCCATTACTCCCATTAACCTGGGTCTTTATCTTTCCCCCTGTAACTATTCCAACAGCCTCCTGCCCTCCCCTGGCATCCCTGTCTATTCAACATTCCAAAGCCAGATCAATAGTCAACAAACATTGCTTTCAACTCTTTTTCAGTTAGAAGCTTTCAAAGCCTACAGGATAAAGTCCAACTTACTGTTAACCCTTCATTCTTGTCCCATCTAGTTTTTCAACCCTCTCTCCTCATCTAGACATGCTCCAGACGGCCTGATGCCTCTACCTCTACCTCCAAGTTCCTCTGAGGGTGCGACCTTTCTCTCCCCTGGCTGATGGCTCTGGTGGCCAGCAGGGCAGGCAGAGGGCCCCACGCTTAGGACTCCAAGCCCGGCTTAATGCTCTTAAGTCCTCTTGACAGCCGTTATGCCTTCTGAACTAAAGGCTCGGCATCTTCCTTTTACACTACAGCCCGCCGCAAATTGTCAGCTGGCCCTGGGTTGGATACTTCAGCTATCCAACAAGCAATGGTTACAATGCACCGAGGGCGTAGGGTCTACTGGGATCAGCATAAGGAAAGAACCACAACAAAACCGAGCCTGCTTTCCCGCCAGGCGCTTAAAACCCCGCCAGCAGCCCCCTTGCCGCCTCAGACCGGTTCCAGCTGGATTTCTGGAGACAGCTCGAACGCCAAATAGAATTCCCCCTCTTTTCCCGGCCCCGACCAATCTTCGCAGCCCCTCGGGCGCTGACACCGCAGCGGGCTCTGATTGGCTGACAGAGTAAGCCTGGGGTGGGCGAAGAGCGACGGTAGGAAAGGGGGCGTGGCGGGAGGGAGGGCCGCGGGAGAAGAGGTGACTGCGCAGGCGTCAATGGAAACGGATAAACAAACAAAACCCACCATCCTTGGGCCTCCAGCTCTTCCCCGCCCACCTGTCCCCGGCGCGGACTCACCCTCCTCCCAGTCGCGCCGCTTTCCCCGCCCGCGGCAACGTCTGGGCACGTCCCCCTCGCGGCGCGGGCCACGCACGTCCCTGCGCTTAACCTCTGCCAGTCCGGCGCTAAGTTAAAGGCCGGGACGGTGCGGTCTGCGCGCACTCCTGGAGGCGGGGTGCGCAGGCAGGAGCCCGAGCCTGCAGCCGCGGCCGGGCAGACGATGACTTGCTACCGGGGCTTCCTGCTGGGCAGCTGTTGTCGCGTGGCGGGCGGCCGGGCGGCGCTGCGTGGGTCAGGCGCGGGAGGCCCTGCCGCGCGGCCCCGGCTTGGCGGTGACGGCGACCGGAGGCACCTAGGGCACGGGCAGCCGCGCGAGCTGGCGGGCTGTGGCAGCCGTCCGGAAGGCGGCTTCCGCCCCTCGCGGGTGGTGGTGGTGGCCAAAACCACCCGGTACGAGTTCGAGCAGCAGCGGTACCGCTACGCGGAGCTCTCGGAAGAGGACCTGAAGCAGCTGGTGGGTCGCCGCGGCCCCCGCCGTTTTGACTCTTACCAGCCCCAAGTCGCTCCCTGGCTGGGCCGGGGCTTTGGTGGGTGGCTGCGTCCCTTCGGGGGGGGGGGTGGGGAACAACTCTTGGGACGACTTTTCTTCCCAGGGCACCCCTGGCGCCCCGCGTGCCTCTCGCTGTCCTTTACTCCCTCTGGCTTCGCCTGTGAACTCCCTTCGCGCGCGCGTGTGGGGCTTGGATGGGATGGGCGAGGGGACGGGTCCGGGTGAGCGCAGAGACCTCCAGGCAGGGGGGCCGAGGCTGCCTTATTTTGGGAAAAGGGGCTACTGTGTGGCTCCGTAGAGAGAGGCTTGGGGGTTCACTTGTGCTCTCTCCACCGCTGCTGTCATCCCCTTGAGGTGAAAAGCAACTCCAGCCCCCAGAAAGGTAGGTGGGTGGGTTGCTTGAGATCCGGGCGCCCTGGAAACAGCTCCCGAAGCCGCTGCGAGAAAGTGGGCCTCTGAGAGCCTTAGTGGGCTGCGGAAAAGAGGGCGAAGGTACTGCGGACACACCCCCTTTTACTTTTCCAGACCGTCCGGGCCTGGGACACTCCGGGAAAGCCCGCTTTTAACATGCTGGAATGGTGGCTGTTAGACAGGGGTCTTAGTTTGTTTTCAAAGCACGGGTGTCTGGTGTTGGGAAGGGCAAAGGAGGAGATTAAACTTGAATATATGTTTTTAAGTGGAAAAGTTAGAAAGTAAAAGGAGCAAGTAGCTCGGGTAACATGTGAAATAAAAAAGCCCATGTCTCTAATGTCATGCCTCCACAGTAGACTATATTTAGTATATTAATATCTTTACGAAGTATATAAATACAAGGGGTAGAACACTGCGTTGGACACTGCCACCTCCCCCCCCCCCCCCCGCGCCCCCGGCCTTTTGAAAATTTTTGATTCCATGTCCGTATTCACCAGCTTTTGGAAATGGAGAGTGACTCATACTGCTAAGACCAATATGTCCTGAAAAATCTTTTAGAGATCTGTGCATCAAAGGCTTTGAAACTAACTGCATTTAATTGTTATGAGTTTAATACTCTAGTAGGCCGCCTGTTCTAAACACCTGGTTTTCTTTGTAATCTTCAGCATAGTCATTTTGTAGACATCAAAATGCAACTGTGAATCTTTGCTTAAGTACTAAATCTTCTTGGATGGGTTAATCCAAGAGGGCTCCTTCATTCACCTGATGGAAATTTAGGGGCAGATTTATTTTCTAAGCGTTTGAAGGTAGCAGTTTATATAAAACACCTGGAGCATTTAAAGAATAAAATCAACAGTGAAGAGGAGACTAGGGTAGTTGAGCTTGTGTTAAGAGATTGAAATTGGGGTGAGGTAGGGAATGGTAAAGTCAGATGAAAGTACATTGTTTCTATTTTGGGAAAGGGGTGTGTCTTTTGGATTGTATGCCTAATTTAGCAAGGTTCACTTTTTAGAAACTTAAATGTCATGAATGCATAGTGTTTTAATACAATTTTTGTCCAAGTTAAAGTAGTACACTAAAACAACAACAACAACAATAACAAAACACCCCCAAAAGAAAGAATTGAAGTAGTACACTCAATGGGTATAATCAAACAGTGGGGGGTTGGGGGTCAGGAGCTCTGGGCTCTGCTTCTGTGTGGTTAACTTCCTATTTTTAACTTCTGGGTGAAAATGATACACTTTGTTTAGTATTTTCAGCTTTCAGTATTCTGTAGAAGAAATGCTAGTATTGGAGTAGATAGCCTTCAAGGTCCTTTCTAGTGCTAACATTTTTCAAGGCTTCAGGAAAATAGGCGGCATCTGAATTGGGATGAACTCTTGGACTTCTGAACAGGATTGCTACTAATAAAAACTATGTAGAGAAATCAGTTAAGTCTTTAAAAAGCAAACTACCAGTGTACCCTCTCTGAATGTGGAAATCGCTGATAGGTAAATATTTGTCTATTGCTAGGTAATTCTGTTTTGAAAAAGAAAGCTTTGAAGTATAACTAATGGACCATAAAATACAGTTTTGTAATCATCAGGCCGTGGAATAGTTTTTGTTGATGATGTTGTTATAATTTTATTGGATTAGTTCCTAACTAATAATAAATTATTTTACATTTATATTAAGGCTAATATTCAACAATGCAGTAACATTAGATATAGCTCAGATCAGAGGTCAGGAACAGAACAGGCCAAAGAATACTGGGCTGTGTGAGATTAACATGGAATTCTTAATAGACACGATAAGAACATAAATGTTGTTTGCTGTATTGTTGGGGTGAATTGTTAAGATATATTAATTATGTGAATTGAATATTAAAGAAATGGCCAAATACTCTTCTGGCACGTGTCACAGTAACTTGATTCTGTATCAAAACATTCTCTTTTGTTGTTGTTGTTGTTTTTAATGTAAAATAGATCTCTATTAGGGTACTTGTTAAAATGCAAATGGCAGATGAAAGTCAGAGTGCCTGTGTACTTTTATACCCCAAGCCTCCTGGGTTTCTAACTTTGTAGTACAAATAAGCAATTAGAGGAAATATCTTTTTAGTTGATAAAAACCTGTAGAGAGAACAGGATTATGTCCTTCAAGCTGGGTTAAACTTTTGACTTTCAGTTACTCTTTTATACTGCTTTATATTTCTGAGTCTTGCTTTTCTGCCTATTGATTGAACAAATTTTTAGTCAAGGATTTTACCTCTCGTCTCATGACTTTGCAATAATCAATGAATCTATTACTACAATTTATTTGTGTTATGAGAGATGTAGATATTGGTAGATGTGAAACTTTTAATCAGGTTCCACAATAATCACAAATTATATCTTTAGATGAAACAGAACTAATTTGGAAAGGGTTTTGATACCAGAAACATATCTAATTGGCCAAAGAAAAAATTTGATTTAAATTTCTTTATTTTTTTTTTTGTAGTTGTGTATGGACAGCATGCCTTATTTTTTTATTTGTAAGCAGTGCTGAGGATTGAACCCAGTGCTCTGCCACTGAGCTACAGCCCCAGCCCATGTCTTTTTATATATATCAAATAAGGAATCAGTTTCATCAACTTCATTCTAAGTCTCATAATTTTAGAGGCAACTTTAATAGTTCCCCTTTTTAGTTTTAGGTTTTTAAATAAAATTAATAATGGAATAGAATAATTTCATTTAATAGCACCTCTATTATTGTATATAAATTATTCCTATTTATTGCCTTCTTAACTGATTTGGGAGGTGCAGTGCCTTGGATTTGTTTTCTTTGTTTCCTGAAAAAGATCATGCAGCTTAGGTTGTAGCTCTAAGGCAGATAATACTTTTGCCACATGGTATGCAGTAAGTGTATTGTATACAGTGTGAATATTTATCAAATTAAAGAACATCATTTGGAGTACTGCCAGACCCTTCTTTCTAACTGAAGCTTACTCCTCTCAAATCTTCTAGACCCAGGCACCAAAGTGGTCTATCTAAAACTGAACATCTGGTCACTTAGGTCTTCTGCTTACAACTCCTCAACAGCTCCATAACCTTTTGTCACCTAGGGAACTTGTTAAAGTGCAGATGTTTGAATGTTAGCCCACAAGATTTTGATTTGACTGGTGAAGAATTCCCAGACTTTGTTTCTCTGAACCACACCCTTAACATTTCTAATTCTTTGGCCTAATTCCCTGGTTCTGTGTTTTTTTAACCAGCTCCCCAGGTTTGTAAGTGGCTCCCTGCTCACACTTTGAGAAACACTGTTGTAGTTTCAACAATGATTCCTTCCTGGACTGGGGTGTCTGTCAGCCTCGTGAGCTTCATTTCTGATCACTTGTCTTGAATTTTATATTTTGGCAATTTTAAACAGTTTTAATTTCCATTAGATGTCATGCTGATATAATTTATTTATGGATCAGTAGCACATTAAAATGGCTCAAAATGTAAAAGATACAGAATATTATACAATAAAGACTTTCTTTTGTCATCTGTCATTCGGTTTTGGTCCCTGCAACTAACATCAGTTTCTTCTGTTTCCTTACAGAAATAGTCTGTATATACACATCAGCAGTGGAAACATTCTTTACCCCATCCCTTTTTACTCAGTGATAACATACTACTTAAATTACTCTTCACTTTTTTTAGCTTAATGGTATTTGTGGAGATTGGCATAAAGAACACTCTCATTCTTTAATAGTGTCTATTTCATGTTATTCCATTATGTGCACATTATTTAACACTTCAATTGATTTGACCTTCTATTAAATACATTCTTCAGTGAATAAAATTTGTGTTTATATGTGTGTAAATCAAGCTCTAAGATAAATACCTAAAAGTGGAATTGCTGAGTCAAAAGGCACAAGCATATGAAATTTTAGTAAGTATTGCCAAATTGCCTTAAAAGATTATACCAGTTTACTTTAATCAGCAATGTGTGAGGGTACCTGTGTTTTCATAAACTGTTTATCAAATTTTGGAATCTTTACTAACCCAGTAGGTGAAAAATGATATTTTAGGGAGATTTGATTTGCATCTCTCAGTGTCTTTTCCTTTGAAGCTCCCTTTGTGTTGAATGCTATTCTCCAACCTCTATCTAATTCCTGTTGTGAGCTAAGTCTCAGACATTTCTTTCTCAGGAAACCTTGTTAGCCAGTTTGTGTCCCTGTTTCTCTCTGCTACCAAGGTTGGGTTAGGTATTCTTCATTATATTTTCTTAGTATTTATTTGTGATTATTTTCTTCTCAACTGTAAATGGATTTCTGGACTAGAACTCTATCTTATCATCCTCTTTGATTCCTGCCCCCCTCTCTTCCTAGAAAGGGTGGTGAATGTTTGTGATGTTCTTTAATTTTAATTTTTTTCTCCCTGAGGCTGTGGACCAACTTTGTTCCTTTCCAGGGCCTTATTACCAGCTGTGGGTCTTTCAGATGTTAGTTACTAAAAGCTTAAGGCAGAGGTTACCAACACTGGTTCTTTGAAAGGGGTCAGGTTAAATATATTTGAGAAACATCAGTCTAAAGAAAGGTTGATTTTTGTTTG